TCCCCCACATGCAAACAAAATTGAACAAGTTGTGGAGATCATCTGTGCTTCTACAATGATTCTCTTTTCACATGCATGGCAAGCCAGTGCATAATTAATGTAACTTCTGAGAGATCAGGATTGTCTGAGAAGGTTCAGGTTTGCTCTGTACCTCAGCTCCCCATCCTGAGAAAAGTGGCAGCAGCTGCAAAGCTGTTTTCAAATAAAAGTCAGACAAATGTAGTATGAAGCAAGGACCTTAATACATGACTTTAGAATGTACATTAATAACTTTGACACGTATTTCAGGGTGACTTTAGCTCTGTTTTAAGACATTACAATCATGCTGGATACTTGAAATATGATAATAAGTGTTTTGCATGCATAAATCATTAATGAGAGTTTGCAAAGTGCTTTGAAATCCTTTAATCTGTAACTTCCGTGGGCTGTTCCCAATGACTGGAATTGTTTGGGGATTTTTACAAAGACACTGACTTTACAGAACTGATTTAGAAGATGAGGAATGATGGATTGAATGAATTGTTAAAAGAAGAAAAATAATAGGAATAGCAACTAAGTTTAAATCCAACCCCCCTGCATGAGCAGGGACACCTCCCAGCAGCCCAGGCTGCTCCAAGCCCCATCCAACCTGCCCTTCAACACCCCCAGGGATGGGGCAGCCACAGCTTCCCTGGCCAACCTGGCCCAGGCTCTCCCCACCCTCACACTCCACAATTCCCTCCTCAGCTCTAACCTCCAGCTCTCTCTCCCACTTTTCATCCCTCCCCCTCATCCCATCCCTCCCTGCCCTTGGCCCAAGTCCCTCCCCAGCTTTCCTGGAGCCCCTTCAGGCCCTGGAAGCTGCTCTAAGGTCTCCCTGGAGCCTTCTCCTCTCCAGGCTCAACACCCCAACTCTCCCAGCTTGGCTCCAGAGCTGCTCCAGCCCTGGGATCACCTCTGTGGCCCTTCAGCCTGGTGACAGGCAGCCTCCTAAAAAGCTGCCACCTGAGAGGGGCTGGCTTTTGAAATACACTCACAGAAAGGGAAAACCAACCATCAGTGAAATCACTTGTATCTTGAGAAAAAAAACTGATTAAAATTGTAAGGTTTTACCCATGGTAAGAACAATTGCATGGAACATGGAAATTATTTAAACATGAACATGGAAATTATTTATTTACATCTACTGGGATCTAGGGTCATCTGAGACCAAGGGGTGAGTGAGATCTAATCTGAGTGCAGTGTAGGAGGGGGGGAAAAGCCTTATGAGGGCAGGAATCATGACCTGATTGGGAGCTGATAAGTGGGCTGAAAGATGTGGCTTTGATCTGTTTATCTGAAAGGAGTATTATTGCTCAATTTATGGGTGGCAGAAGGTAATGCCACACTTTAAGTATAATAACACAGCACTTCATGTGTAATAAATCATTAATGAATGCTTGGGATGTGACAGCTGATCCAAGGAGGACGCGGAGCTTCCTGATAAGAGTTGTTGCCCCAGGGATCTCTCCAGCACACCTCATAATTCAGGAGGGATTTACAGAGGAAAAATAATCCTACTGCTCTATTAGAGAAGCAAACCAGTAGCAGGTAAACAACTCTGGACAGGAAATCTGTCTGTAGGCAAGGGCAGATCTCAGGGGATGTGAGACACTTTCCCTGGCTCGCTCGGCCTGTGGGCTGATAGCCACGGGTTTTGATGCAACAGCCCAAAGATGAGCTGCATGGGGACAAAAAAAGGCTGTCGTTCTTGGTGGCTGCACCTTTCCCACCCTGATTCTTCCTGGCAGACCCTTGAATTAGGGTTGATGCCCAAATAAGCATCCCAGGGACCAATCAAAGCTTTCAGTGCTGGATGACACTTTATCAGGCAGGGTTAGGAGGGTCAGAAATGTCCTTCCTTTAAGGAATAGGAAACAAAATATCAAATTCTGTCCAGACAGCAGGAAGTTCTGGTTCAGATTACACTGTATCAGGCTTTTCAGTGCAACAAAATGTCCTTTCAAGTCTCAGACTCCTGGTCCAGCTTGAAGGAGCCCACTTGCAGAGGGGCCACTGGAGATGAATTTTCATCCTGAAGCTGGAGCAGATGGGATGGCTCCAGCTCTGCAGGAGCCAACTTAGTGCTCTAGTAGAGCTGGGGAAATATTTTTCCACTGCAAAGGACTTGCTGGGAAATACAAAGGGGAGAGAAGCAATAATTTGGGATTAGTATAATGCACATTTTTGTGGGAGCAGCAGGGACAGGCACAAAGCTTGTGGCAGGAGCTGGTGCTTGGGAAAGTGGATGATTTGTGTTGGTGATGCCCAAAAACCTCATTTTCCCACCTTATTTCATTGCCCAGTGCTGCTGAATTAAATGGTCATAAGAATTTAGAGGAGTTGTGGGGCTGCTCAAGAAGTTTTATTAAAGGTGGTTATTATGACACACACAAAATACTTTTTAATAACAAAAATTAATAACCCTGGTTGCTGAAACTATTAAATATTGCTACCTAGGGAGTAGCCATGACTCTTTGAATTTAAAGTGATGTTATTATCCAAGTGACAACTATTCAAATTTTGTCCTATACTTGCAGTATTTACATAGCACCTCACTTTGTGTGTCTCAACCATTAATGAGCATTTGGGATTGACTTTGAAGTTCTTTCCTTTAAAGAAGCAGGAGGAAAAGCTTCAATTTTGTTGTACAGCCCGAGGGATCTGCAGCCAGACATGCCTCAGCAGCTGCTGAATATGTAATGGAGGTAAAGGAAACATCCAGTGTCTGATGTTGCTGGGGAGTAAATGAAATACAGGTGGGTTTTTTTTGAGTGAAAATATTTTAAGAACATTTCCATTAATTCTAGAATTGATCACTTCTTATTTTCCACCTCAGTGGTTACTGCAGGAGGCATTCCCAGTGAGTTTGTTGGTTTTTTTTTTCTCTATATTGAGTTCTTAAAAAGATAAATTGAAAATTACTAATCTGGGTGTGATGTTTTGTAGGAACTCTGCTGGGTAGGTATTTTTTTTCCATTCAGTCAGTTGAATTCTTGTTTTGCTGTAGTTGTGATGTATTCAAATATCTTAATTAACAAAATTGGTGATCCCAAGGGTGTAGGGCTGATGACTGTACTTGAAGATCTTTTCCAGCTTTAATGATTCAATGAAATTAAAGATTTCTCTTTCAGAAATGTTTCATGCAATAGTAGAAAAACTTTAAATTTCAGACTTTATTTTTTTTTCTGGTTTGGTTAGCCAAAATTACCAGCTCCAGTTGTTTGGATGTAGTAGAAATGATTGCTCCCCACACCACCTAAACGAAGCGTTTGGGTTTCTGTTTGGGCACAGTAATAAATCCACTGGAAGTATGTGCCTGTGCAACTGCAAGGCTGCCCTCCTCATCTTAATTGCTTTAATTTCTTTCCTACAGGCCAATTGTCTCAATACTCTGAGCTCTGGGTACCAAATAGTTACACCAATGCATAAAACCTTAGTGTGTCCAACCCCTAATTAGACCAGGAAAACAACTTGTCCTCTAGCCTGAACCAGGAGGCTTCCACTGAGCAATGCTTGGCAGGACTCAGCAGAACAAATCTGTGTGTTTTGTAAAGCAACCCCAAAGGGTTCTACCAAAACTCAAGCTTAAAAAGTGCTGTTTGAGAGATGCTGGCTTTGGAGTTTCAGCTCAAGCATTTAATGGGATGTTTTTATACCTTGCACTATCAGTTCTCACTGTCAGTACATGGATGAGTCAAAAGGGGCTACAGGAAAAATGGGGAGAGACTTTTAAAAAGAAAGGGCAGTGACAGGACAAGAGGTAATGATTTTAGACCAGAAGAGGAGAGATTTAGGCTGGGCATCAGGAAGAAATTCTTCAGGATGGGACACTGGCCCAGGTTGCCCAGGGAAGCTGTGGCTGCCCCCTCCCTGGAGATGTTCAAGGCCAGGTTGGATGAGGCTTGTGCAGCCTGGGTTGGTGGGAGGTGTCCCTGCTCAGAGCAGGGAGTTGGGAACCTGATGATCTTTAAGGTCCCTTCCAACCTTCAACATTCTATGAAAGCTCTGTTGTGAGAAGAGTTTTCTGTAGTTTGTAGGCGTTTGGAGTGTCTGATATTGCACAAGGGATTTTAATACAGTAATTGATACCTTGAATGTGTTATGAATTATTAAAACTAGGTATGTGACACAATCCTAAGAAACAGAGAAAAAGTCTTGGAAGAATATTTGTGTAAAACATTCAAATTTTGCAATTAAGTAACTATTTGAGTCTTGCCTCTTTGTCATGTGTAAGTGTCCCTGTGAAAAACAAGCTAGGGAGGAAAATGACAGAAGGCAGCGCTGCTTTGCTTCCCATCAGGTCATCATAAATGTCCAAATTACCTCAATCATCAGTGTTGGGCATGAAATTAATTTGATCTCTAATTATGTCACATAAAACAAGTGCCTAGCATGGAATGGGAATGTCATTAGCAGGTGAATGGGGAGGGAGAATTGCAAGTACCAAATCAAAGCTTCAGTAGCAGGGACAGATTTCCATGCAGGATGAGCTGGTTAGTAACAAATTCCATGGACAAAGGTGCCTCTGGGCCTGGGGCAGTCTGGAGCAGTATAAAAGCCAGTCCCACAGCAGGTTCCCTCATTCACTGCTCTTACCTTCTCCTCCTTGGTGAACCAGGTAAGAAACAAGTGTCTCCATCTGTCTCTTCTTTGTCCTTCTCCTTCCATTCTCTTCTGGCCTTGGTGTAGCTTTTCCTGAGACCTGACCTCCTTTGCTATTTCTCGACTCTGAGCTCCTTTCCACCCTCATGGTGGCAATGCTTGGACTTGGAAATCTGAAAGGTCTTTTCCAACCAAAATGATTCTGTAACTCTCTCATGGGAGAAGGTCTTGGGCTTTCTTTGCAGGGAAACCTTGGGGATGGGGGATTCTCAGGCTCTCCTCCTCCTTGCTCAGCCTGTCCCTGCTCCCCAGCCAGTGCCTTCTGTCTTGGGCAGCAGGTCTCAGGCTGCCCCTCAGCCTGTGCTGTGCTTGCCCTGCCCTGTCTCCCAGGTGCTGCTCCATCCCACAGCCATGTCCTGCTACGACCTGTGCCGTCCCTGTGGCCCAACCCCTCTGGCCAACAGCTGCAACGAGCCCTGTGTCAGGCAGTGCCAGGACTCCCGGGTCATTATTGAACCTTCTCCCGTGGTGGTGACCCTGCCTGGACCCATCCTCAGCTCCTTCCCCCAGAACACTGCCGTGGGATCCACCACCTCTGCTGCTGTGGGCAACATCCTGAGTGCTGAAGGAGTTCCCATCAACTCTGGGGGCTTCAATCTCTCTTACCTTGGTGGTCTTGGTGGTCGCTACGGCAGGAGGTGCCTGCCCTGCTAGAGCTGGGCTGTGAGTCCAGTGATGCCTTGAGCAGGAAGCCCAAAGCCCAAAGGTGCTGGCCTGAGGCCAGAGCTGCTGGCCAGGGTTTGCAGCTGGGTTGAGCAGCCTTCTGCCAAGGAGGGCATGAACAACCTTCTTCCTGGAAACGCAACCAGCGGGTGTCTTGCTTTCTTGAATTCCTGCTTTTGATGATTTTCCTTGCATCTGTGATTTTGAATTTAGGCAGCTGAGAGGGGCCCTGCTCGCCCTCCTCTGCCCATGTGTGTGGGAGGGAGACGTGTGTCCCCTTGCTGTGAAGAGGGGCCTGAGTGCCAGCTGCCCTGGGAGCAGCCTGGCACGAGGTCCCTTCCCCCTGCCCTGCTTTGTTTCTGTCTTTGTCCTCATTAAAGTTGGTGTTGCATTGTAGCTTGAGTCTCCTGGTGTTCCTTCCCTGCTGGGCTGCCCAGCCAAGGTGCCCCGAGGGAAATGGTTCTGTGGAGGGGAAAAGGATAGATGGGTAAAAACCACTGTTGGACCTTCCTCATGCCTGGAAAACCTTACTACCTCCAAGGACCATGATCACTTGAAGAGACATTAAATGGTTGAAGGAGGATGTGATGTAGTGTCTTAATAAGGAAGAGTTGGCCTGGAGTTCTCCCGTTGCACATGTGTGCACATGGTGAGGTTGGATATTGACACTGAGTTAATAACACTTTGACCTGCTGGTAGGCATTTCTGTGCAGGCTGACACCCCCCTGGCCAGGGCTCTGTCTCCATGTGATCACCCACAATGTGTCCTTGTCCTTGTGTCCTCCAAGCACTCCTTTAAATCCCTGAAAGTGAAGGGACCCCCAGAGGAATTGAAGCGACAAGTGGCAGCAAGGACAACTGAATCAAGGGCTATGTGAGTCCTCTGCTGGAATTGTGCACAGTGGGGATGTGCTGAGAACATGTGTGTAAAATGGGTAAGGGAGGGGCTGGACATGGGCTTCATCCTCCCTGATCTGAACAGCTTGGGTAGTGTTGGTGGCATATCCTGGAAACACTGGAGGGCTGGAAGGGAGCAGGACTGGCACCTTATTCACCCCTGGAGCAGCCTTGAGGTCAAAAGCATGAAGTGCTGCAGAGTCCTCCTGTGTGTGTTACTGTCCCTGCAGGGACATGAGTCTGGAGCAGCCATGCAGGGAGAGTTCCCTCAGCTGCTGTGCAGGTTGTGCCTGCAGAGCTGCCAAGCAGAGGCTTTTTTGTCCCTGCAGCCAGGCCTCAAGCTGGGGACACTGAGGGTGTGGTTCCCTCCAGCTCTGTTCTCAGCCCCTCCAACCCACACCCCAGGAAGAGCTTTGATCCTGCTCCTCTGCTGGTGCTTCAGGTGAAGCAGGAGGCCCCCTTGGTGTTGTGCTCCTGTGACTGTCCTTGCCCAGGCTGCTGCAGCCTGCTTGTTGCTGAGCAGGGCTGGGTGTCCTGTGCCCAGCCTGCCAAGTCATGCCTGGTGTGCCAGTTGTCAGGGTGGCTACAGCAGAGGTTGTGGCAAAGACCTGGGCAGGAAGAAGGACTTGTATCCACTGGACAGCAGGTGCCTTGAACATGGGAGTTCCTGCAAGTCTGTCAGAGGTGTCAAGTAAAGAGTGTCAGGAGGGGAAGAGTCTCCATGCTTAACCTGTGGTGGTTGGCTGCTTAAGGCAGGTTGGGATGAAGGAGAGAAAGAGTTGGGGTTGTTCAACCTGGAGAAAGAGAAGGCTCTGGGAAGAATCTGTAGGAGCCTCCTTGTAGCTGAAGGACCTACAAGAAATCAGGGGAAGGGCTTTTTATACGGCCATATAGTGAGAAAACAAGGGGTTATGGTTTTAAACTGGGAGAGGAGAGTTTTAGGTTAGATGTTAGGAAGACATTGGGTAGTGTAAGAGTGGTAAAACACTGGCCCAAGTTGCCCAGAGATGTAGTGGAAGCCCCAAACCTTGGAAGCATCCAAGGGCAGGTTGGATGTGTCTTGGAGCAACCTGGTTTAGTGGGACGTGCCCTTGCCCATGCTGGAGGGTTTGATCTAGATGATATTTAAGGTCTTTTCCAACTCAACCCATTCCGTGATTCTATGAAGATGCCAGAGGAACCCAGGGCTACAGCAGAGGTTGTGGCAAAGACCTGGGCAGGAAGAAGGACGTGTATCTGCTGGAGAGCAGGTGCCTTGGACATGGGGGTTCCTGCAAGTCTGTCAGAGGTGTCAAGTAAAGAGTGTTGGGAGAGGAAGAGTCTCCCTGCTTAACCTGTGGTGGTTGGCTGCTGAATGCAGGTTGGGATGAAGGGAGAATGAAGACAGCAAAGAAGCACAGGCCATGTTCTGCTGACATCAAAGCTCAACCTGAGAGTCTGGTGTTACCATTTGACTCAGGATTGACAATAAGGCTCTCAATCCCCTCCCACCCAGGTAGGGAATGAGAGAGAGAAAGAGAGAGAGGCTTGGCTGGATTGAAAACTAAACTACACAGCTTTAATTAAACTAAGGATAAAAGAAAATATATGCAATTCTATACAAATATGTTCAGATATGTGCAAAAGCCTCTCACCTCCCCCCACCTGCAGCATCTCCCACAGCATCTCCTGAGCTGGGAACAGTCCTGAAAAATTCCAGACTGCTGGTGGAGGAAGCACAGAGTGATGAGGGTCAGGAGAGCTGGAGCCTGGGGGTTGATGGCCATGGATGGAAGAGAGAGGAAGAAGCAGCAGGAAGAAAGTTGTCTTCTGTGATCTCTGACCTTCCTTTGAGCTAACATAGATATATGGAATGGAATATCTCTGGCCAGTTTTGCTGTCTGTCTAATTCAGCCTCCTCCAGGGGGGTCATAGGTCTCCCCATAGTGTCTAAGCCAGCAGAGTAAAGGTGTAACCATGAAGACCCAGCAATTACAAAAACATTCCGCTGTTACCAGTTGTAGTTGAAACATTCTGTTACTAGTTGAAAAAAAGCTTACTGAAGAAAAATAAAAATCAGTAAATGGAAAATTGGCTTCATCCTGGCTCAAACCAGGACGTGTGAAAGGCAAGGGCAGAGCTGCCCTGGCCAGAAGGGCGATGTCAGACAGCATGAGTGAGCACAGCATGAGGGACAGTGGCTGCTGGTGCCCACCATCCTGTGTGGATGTCCAGGCTGAGCCTGAGGTTGATGAGGAGACTTGGGCCAGTCATCAGGAACAAGTTTAAAGTGAGGCCCCTGAGGGCAAGGGGATGGCATCAGCTGCTGAGGTGGGACCCTCATCACTGGCTGCATCATCTGCTGGTGCTGACCTGTCATTTCTCCTGGAACCATTTTGTCCTCTAATCCTGTCACTTGAAAGGAGCTTGTGTGGCTGAATGGGCTTGTCATGGACAGGGAAATGAGAAGAGAAGGTTGCAGGGCACAAATAAAACCCCCAATTTCTGTAATTGTGCTGTTTTGCATGCAAGATGAGGTGGTTGGTAACATCTTACATGTGCAAAAGTGCCTGTGGGCCTGGGGCAGTCTGGAGCAGTATAAAAGCCAGTCCCACAGCAGGTTCCCTCATTCACTGCTCTTGCCTTCTCCTCCTTGGTGAACCAGGTAAGAAGCAAGTGCCTCCATCTCTCTCTTCTTTGTCCTTCTCCTTCCATTCTCTTCTGGCCTCGGTGTAGCTTTTCCTGAGACCTGACCTCCTTTGCTATTTCTCGACTCTGAGCTCCTTTCCACCCTCATGGTGGCAATGCTTGGACTTGGGAATCTGAAAGTTCTTTTCCAACCAAAATGATTCTATAACTCTCTCATGGGAGAAGGTCTTGGGCTTTCTTTGCAGGGAAACCTTGGAAATGGGGGATTCTCAGGCTCTCCTCCTCCCTGCTCAGCCTGTCCCTGCTCCCCAGCCAGTGCCTTCTGTCTTGGCCAGTAGGTCTCAGGCTGTCCCTCAGCCTGTGCTGTGCTTGCCCTGCCCTGTCTCCCAGGTGCTGCTCCATCCCACAGCCATGTCCTGCTACGACCTGTGCCGTCCCTGTGGCCCAACCCCTCTGGCCAACAGCTGCAACGAGCCCTGTGTCAGGCAGTGCCAGGACTCCCGGGTGGTGATCCAGCCCTCTCCTGTGGTGGTGACCCTGCCTGGACCCATCCTCAGCTCCTTCCCCCAGAACACCGCCGTGGGATCCACCACCTCTGCTGCTGTGGGCAACATCCTGAGTGAGGATGGAGTTCCCATCAACTCTGGGGGCTTCAACCTCTCTTGCCTTGGTGGTCGCTACGGCAGGAGGTGCCTGCCCTGCTAGAGCTGGGCTGTGAGTCCAGTGATGCCTCAAGCAGGAAGCCCAAAGCCCAAAGGTGCTGGCCTGAGGCCAGAGCTGCTGGCCAGGGTTTGCAGCTGGGCTGAGCAGCCTTGTGTCTCCTGCAAGGTGCCAGCCTGGGCTGCCTGGAAACAGGGCCAGCTGATGTCTTCTGCTTCTGCTGCTTTCACCTCTGCATCACGAGTGCCTGTTGTCTGCTGCTGTGCTGTGCCATGGGTTGATCCTGCAGGCAGCTGAGAGGGGCCCTGCTCGCCCTCCTCTGCCCATGTGTGTGGGAGGGAGACGTGTGTCCCCTTGCTGTGAAGAGGGGCCTGAGTGCCAGCTGCCCTGAGAGCAGCCTGGCGCGGGTCCCTTCCCCCTGCCCTGCTTTGTTTCTGTCTTTGTCCTCATTAAAGTTGGTGCTGCATTGTAGCTTGAGTCTCCTGGTGTTCCTTCCCTGCTGGGCTGCCCAGCCAATCTGGTCTGGGAGAAATGACAGAATCACAACATGACTGAGTTTGGAAGTGACTTTTGGAGGCCAGTGGGTACAATCCTCTACTCCATTATGTTAGTGTAGATCCAGTTGCTCTAGTCCAGATGGCTCAGCTATCTCCAAGGACTGAGATCCCACAATCTGCCTGGGGAAAATGTTCTAGTGCTTGGTGAACTTCACAGTGAAAAAATTCTTTCAGGCACCCAGATGGACCTTTCTGTGCTTCTTTTCATTCCCATTGCCTCTAATGTTTTCCAGGGACAGTTCTGACAGA